GTGCAAATGAGTGTGGAACCTTCTTAGAACTACTGAAATGACTGTGTTGTAAATAGGAGATAGGTGGTGTTATATTCCTCCTGCTCTATTGAGAAAGGGCTGTTTAGTCTTAACATAAATGGCCTCTTTGACCCCTCTTTCAAACCAGCGGTCCTCTCGGTCCAGATAGTGAACTTTGCTGTCTTCAAAAAAATGACCTTTGTCTTTCAAACGCAGATGGACTGCTAAATCTTGTCCTGATGGTTTTGTTCTCATATGTTGTGCCATGATTTTGTGAAGTTATTGTTTTGTTTCTCCACTGTACAGATCTGCATGTCTCACTGCATTGTACTGCACATATGGAAAGCTGAGTCAACCTTGAGTCTGATGAGATTTGCCAAATTGCAGTCAGCCGGTAGTCAGTAGAAGTAGCCTGCAGTACTGCATTCTAACTACTGCACCACCATGGCTCATCACATTGTTGAGTTCATTTAAGTTTTTAATATGATTTATATTTAAAATTGGAAAATACTCATTTTTCACAAAGGTAATATTGAACATCTTGGTTTGTTTAGCCAGTAACTATATGAGGGAAAGTAGAAATCATCTCTGTGAATCAAAACTGATACATAGTGGTACCCGTCAGAGGAGCTTAACAGTCCATGTCAAGATAGAAGTAGGATAGAATAAAACCTGAAGCCAGGTCAAATAATTGGGTTCTTAGTCAATAAAAGTGCCTTGTTTGTGTGTTGTAATGAAATATCTTTGGTTCAATGGATGTCTGGATCCAAATACCCCCTGGATTTTCTGATAACTAAAGGGATAAGATTGAAAGAGATTTAATTTAGAGCTATTGAAAAAACCTTAAAGAGATTAGAGAAATTCATACATGTACTTTCAGGGTGCCTTTTGTTACTTATCAAAACCCCTTTTTCCAAAGGGGAAAAAAAAAAGACATACAAGGATTTCTGGCTGACTGCCATCAAGTTGCAAGTTGCTAGCATTTTGCAGTTCAGATGTGTGGGCAGAAAAAAAGAAATTTTGTTTTCCTTCCTGAATACTCTGAACTAAATTTAGGAAGATGATAAGGCAATTGCTTCCTATTTGAGTGACTCATCAAAGCCAAGTAGAGCAATTTTGGCAAATGGAATACTGTCTCTCTCTTATTTCAGATAGAAGGTGTTCCTCCACAAGGTCAGGCCATTGCAGGAAGTTCACACTCTTGTTTAAAAGCTCTAGCAAACACATTTCATAGCACCAAATTGTGTTTTGTTGAATTGAAATGGTTGCTTGCCTATTAAATGCATTATAGAACCTTTCCCATCCCTGAAAAGCATGCACACAAAAACATTAGATACCTAAAGCTGCCTTTTGGCATGAAAAAGAAAGAAAGAAAGAAAAAATAACTATTGTAAAAAGAAAAACTTTGTTTACAAGATTCATAATTAATGGCAGTTATTGCAGAGAGACAGAGAGATAGAGATAGAGATAGAGATATGCAGGCAGTATGTGAACCCCCCCCCCACCTCCCGGTCTGCAGAAAAACCTCTCTCCATGGAACTGGTCCCCGGTACCCAAAATATTTGATTATTGTCAGAAACAAGCAATTTGACTTGAATCTGTTTAATTAATCAGAAAACCAAATAGGATTGGATACCCCTGAAATAGTTCAATAACTTGGGGGGGGGGAAACAAGTGCATACATACTTGGAAAAAGAAAATTAAAGTAATCCAGTTTTCTCAATAGCATTGACTCACATCCTCAAACCCACTTGAATTAATTATTTAAATCAGAATATTCCTAATTTCATACCAATATCTGCATTATATTTTATTTGATTGTTTTGTAGAAAGTTAGCATCCACCCCTCTCCTAGAAAAATGAAATATTTTGGGAAATATTAAAAAAAAAAGCCAGAATATTATATTTCCCTGGATGATAAAAGAAGAAACGTGTTTTAAAGACAGGAAGCAGTTCCCTGCAGTTGTGAAATCTAAAATTTGTTACTACCAGTTCTGTGGGCGTGGCTTGGTGACTGGGTGGGCATGGCCAACTTTTTTTAAAAAAAACTCTTAAAAGCATTTTTCCTACAACCTCTTCTTAAAAATGTTTTTAAAAGCCTCTGATAATCAGGCAACTCAGCTGGGATCACCAGAGTCTTTTAAAGGCATTTTTTTTCTACAACCTCTTTGGCCAAAGAGGTTGCAGAAAAAATGCTTTTAAAAGCCTCTGATGATCCCAGCTGACCACGCAATCATCAGAGGCTTTTTTTTACTTTTAAAAGCATTTTTTCAGCTGAAGAGGTTGTAGAAAAAATGCTTTTAAAAGTAAAAAAAAAAGCCTCTGATGATCACGTGGCTCAGCTGGGCATGGTGGGCGGGGGGTTGCAGGGATTTTTGCTACCGGTTCTCCAAACCAACTGCCGCCATCGCTACTGGATCGCGCGATCCAGTCCGAACTGGGAGCATTTCACCCCTGGTTCCTTGTCCCCAGCAGACATTTGGTGCCCATTAGGAAAGACTGGACCAGCCTATCTACAAGACAAAAGACTTCCAGCTCCAGGGTGATGAAATTAAGACATGATGCTCCAGAACATTATAGGATTAACCAATCTAGCAGCAGAGCTCAGCACATGACACAATCTCCAAAGGACATTGCATCAGCAGTCCAAACTTCAACCAATCTTAGCTCAGACAAACATAACCCCTACAGGGCCCAATGGGAGTCTGACAACATCCAATAGAAAACATGTTCTTGCACAGGAACAGGAAGCTCAAGTGCAAAGCCCAAGAGAAGGTCTAAAAGCTCCCCCACACTCAACTCCATGTGTTCAGTTACACCAGAACCACAAACATGTGCTTCTGTTCATCAATAAATGGACCCTCTTTCCAATCAGACTCCAGCTTCCATTTTGTCTCCAGTGCCTTTCTCACAGCTTGGAACAGAACCAGATGGATATTTCTTCCAACAGTTTATAATAGGATTTGCTGTGCTTCAGATCCAAAACTGAAAAAATCCTTGGGAAGAGATATTTTGCTTTTTCCTAAAAAGAACTGGGAGATATTTTACTGTTACCAATTTTAAAAGCCAAATTATATACTAAATAGAATAACTAGAATAAATGAAATTTACCCCACGCAGTATAAATGTAGTAAAATTTGTAGTAAAGTTTGACTGTATTCAGCAAGTCACTACACTTCTTTGAGGTGTTTTGAGGATATAAAAGTATTTCCAGCACAGGTAAGGAAATTCAAATATCAGTTTCTGGGATTATGATGAGACTAGCCAGGCTGTAAAAAGTGATATAGTTTGGCATGTTTTAAGTGCAATATTGGCTTGATATTTAATTCTAAATTTCTGCAGTGATCCTCAAGAGGATATGTACAGTAGTAAATTAGTATAAAGGAGGATTAAGTAGGTAAGAGTATCTAGTGTTCCTATTTATGGCCTTTGCATCAGTTGGGATTTGGTGTTTTGAGTTACAATTTTCACTACAACTTCTGACATTAATGCTTCTTTTCACTGAATGAAGAAACTTCAGCCAATAGGCCCTGCCTGCAACTATCTAATAAGATCTCTCTGTTGTGCGTACATATAATTCCTTGAAATCTGTCTACCAGTTAAAAGTTGCTCATCTAATTTACAGAATTTTGTACTGAAAATTGACATCTTACGCCCAATTTCAGTGTTTCATACTGCATTTTCTTTCTTCTATCAACAGTTAATACTATGTGTATTTCAATTGATGAGAGAATCAAATATTTAACATTACTGAAAACACTGAATGATCCTTACATTGGCATTCATGAATGAATGCCACCCTAAGGGTCATTCAGTGTTTTGTGACCCTTACGTTAGCATTCATGATAAACCAAATATGTCAGTGGTGGGTTCCTCCGGTTCCACCAGGTTCCGCCTAGCCAGTAGCGGTGATGATATGACGTCACGAAACTAAATATCAGATTTAATAATATTTGAGAACAAGCCTGAAGTAAACAAAATAAAGTATTTTGGGAGTAACAAATTATAGATGGAAATGTTGATTGATTTTGAAATGACTTTAAGAGAGGAGGAAAATATTATTTGTCAAGATCATGGATACTAGCTGCCATTTAAGAGAAGTAGAATATAGATTTGATGTAATGGGTCTTAGGAATGAGGAATATATATGAAATATTGATTGTTAAAATGATAAAGATTTGAAATGGTGTCTATTTGGAAATAATTGTTTAGAATTTTGGGTGATATAGTAGAATGATAAATGTTTAGAATAAGATTTTTTTTCTTTTTTCTTTCTTTCTTTTTTTTTTTAAAGATGTAAATGGATAAAATTTGGAACAAAATTGGTTGAGGGAATGTGAGTAATTGTACCTATTTTATACCGGATCAAATCCTTGCTCTAAAAGGATGTATTTTATGTTTTATGTCTAAAAAAAAAAAATCCCTGTGCCACCTGAAACCTCTAATAAATTGTTAGGGCAGGGCTATAATTTCAGACTTGGACTCTAGGCCTCCCTTGGATCTGCCCTTTGAACTTCACTTCCAAAATCACTTTATCCTATTCTCTCATTCTGCTGGAATATAACTGGTGGAAGAAGGAATAGATACATTATCACAGATACATTTCTGGTTCCCAACTGATGGCAATACTTTAGTGAGCACTCAGTGCTGAGATACTTTAGAGATAAAAGAAGAAAATGGATTGTCCCAAAGGTACTTTTTCAGGAGGCAACTAAACTTTCTTGTTTTTTCTTTTGAAGACATTTTGCTTCTCATCCAAGAAGCTTCTTCAGGATAGTGGGGAATGGAAGAGCTAAAGAAGCTGAAAAAGCTTCTTGGATGAGAAGCAGAACATCTTCAAAAGAAATAACAAGAAAATCCAGTTGCCTCTTGAAAAAGTACCTTTGGGACAACCATGACCTGGATGACTAAAAATCTCTACAGACTAAAAGAATGGATTCTTTTATAACTTGGGGATGGGTGTTCAATTGCATCCAATAGAAAGCAGTAGAAGAGCTTACCTGCTGAGCCTTGTTCAGTTTTTTCTCTCTATGTTGTATGGCTAGTCTTCCACTAAGTTTCATCAGGGATGAAGTGATCATAATTGCAGTCACCTTTGGAGATGAGATAGGGTATTACAAAATTCCAGAGGTCACTGAGAAAATAAAAATGGTAGAAGCAATCTGTCAAGATATCCAATGCCAAAAGAATGGAGACAGAAAAAAAAATAATGTATCCTGCAAGTCTATGTTTTAAAGAAAATAAATATAATGGGGGTGGGGCAGCTGATGAAGCTACAGGTCAAAATTATCACTGGAATCAGTTGTTGCCTAATTTTGTTACAGAGCATCCCTGTTATACAATTCAGGATTGACACAAGGTTGCCATCATTTTTGGATTTAGACAGGAAGATCCAAAGTACTTTCCTTTCTATCCTAACTAGGACTGGTCTCTTTTTTATAGTATTTTCACTAAAGATTGAAATTACAATAAAAACTAACATACATTGAAAATAAATAGAAGAATAAAAAGAGAGAGTAGAAGGAATAGAAAAAGAAACAAAAAATAAATAAATGAAAAATAAAGATAATATTAATAAAAAAGAAAAGAAATATATAAAAAAGTAACTTTCCCCTTCATTGCAACAATTATAAGTAATTTTAATAACATATCACCTTCTCATAAAATATAATAAATGATATCTGCTTCTCATATCTCAGATATCCCTCTGATCTACAAGCAAAACCATAAAACAGTAATTTCAGTCTAACTATCAGGAAAAACCATTAACGGTTACCAGAAATAGCAACATATGTACTTTAACCTTGATCAAATAAACCAACTTTATATTCCTTCTTTTTACTTCTAACAATCATTAGTGTCTTCAAGAAATGTCATAGAACTTATTTCTATTCATTTTTACTTTCATTTTAATTTCTCACAAAATTCTTCAAAACATTAATCACTTTCTTTTGTAAATCTGATGTTGGAAAATTCTCCTGGTCACTCTCTTGCTTTGATATTTATATCCCTTTTAATTATCAAGAGACCATCTGATTTCTTTTATGTTCAGCATAATACATTTTCTGTGTCATTCTTTTATTTTTTGAACATGTTATTACATTATAAAATAAGATATAAAATACAAAAGTAAATAGGAAGTCAGTAAAGGGAAAGAGTGGAAAGAGAAGTGAGAAAGGGCTGGGGGGAGGAAATAAAGTGTCGACTTTCTGTTGCAGTACAATAAAGCATTAACATCAAACCACAACTTTTTGTTTTTTGATAGTAATATAAACTAGTCATTTCTATAAACATCTATCAATCTAATTGGTAAAACCAAAAACAAAGTTTCATTTTTTTCCCACCTCAAGCACAAAGTTCATAAGTGATCTTCATGTGTCAACAAAGGTATTTATATTCTAAAGTTGGCTGGCTAAATTGACCATTTTATTTAAAGAAAAGACTATAAGTACTTTCTATATCATTCTTGTAGCTAGTCATTTATAAATCCAAAATACTCATTGAAATACCCATTTAATAATCTGAAAAAAAAAAGGTGACATTGACTCTAGAATTGGCAGTTTTACAATATGAAGTTCTAATCCAAATGATGGTTTGATTTCTGTTTTTTTTGCTAAAAAATCCTTTTACTCTTAAACATTTCAAGACACAGTTCCTTAATTTTGAATCTCAACAATATCTACAGTTTCTTGTTAGCTTCCCTAAATCAGTTCAATCAAGCCAAAACTATCTTAAGAATCATGGTTAAAGGCAATTGGATACGCATCATAGTCTTCCCGCTTCATCTAATTTCTGACCCCTTTTATGAGACTCCAATAACATTGAGGTAATACAGATTACAGACTGGACTCATATATAATGAATAAAGAGTAATTTCAAAACTTCTTTACCCATCTACTTCCTGGGTGAAACACATTCTAAATGACTGTAAATTGGTTTCAATTCTTCCTGAATAGTATGTCTCGCAAGCTTCACTCTTTGTTTCTTCTATTTAAAAATTCCTTTTGTGTGATTTGATTAGATCTGAAAAGAAAGGGGGCCATGTTTTCCATTTTCAACTTGTGAAATTGAAAGCAGAATATATTGCTTTTTGATTTTGATAAAATGCAGCTGTGTGAAGTAATAGTCAAAAAGTTCAGATGGTGTCATATGGTTATATATAAATGTGTGTGTATGTTTATGTGAGAGAGAAAGAGATGGAAATAAATAATCCTTTTTGAATGCGGCAGTTGAAGAATTATAGATTTACAATTTAATGCTTTTCACATTGAAAACTGATTTACTGAACCCATGTTCTTCCAACTTAGTTTAATCTAACTCCAAAAATGGAAACTTCGAATTCAAGAAAACCTTGGAATTTCTGCTTTTCAAGTAAAACAAACTCAATATAGAACTTATATTTGAAAAGAAGAAATTTATGCATCTAATTATTAAAATGAAACTGTTCACAGTAACAGTTCACTAATAATGTAAGGGTTAAAGTAGTAACAGAGGTAGTTATATGCATTAATATCCTGGCATTGTCCCAGAAATGTCCCAGAAATCTTATAATACTGGCTCTAATTCAATACTGAGGTATAAATGCTATCACATATTTTTTTCTTCAGGCTTGCTGTAATAATTGTCTAGCAAAGAATGTCTGTGACTATGCTTTTAGCAATAAAAAGGTGCTCCATTATACTTTTAATCTGGGTTTGCTGGGATCAGTTCATCTCTGAAAATAACACCGAAAAGACAAAAGAAAGCTTTTCTTATTCTTGCAGTATTTATTATTTCTTGCGGTGTCTGATCGTTAACATCTGTTCTAAGCTACCATAATATGGAAGGCAATGGAGATTGTCTTCCCATATTCAGATGTAATAACATTTTGAAGTGTGTGTATGTGCACACGCATGCCTAAAGATGAGAATGATTCACCAGGGATGATAAGGGTACCATTTCAGCAAGACTCTGTACAGAAATTTCTTTCAGTTATTCAACATAGTCAAGAATAGAGCTTGCCACAATGCTGTGCCTTTACTAACTTACATGTGCTTATACTCCAATCTATTCATGTAAAAAGAAGAAGGTTTCTTTAAAAAAAAAAAATCTTTGTGCCCCATTCAGAATAAAAAGAATGACAGAGAAAGGAAGGAAGGAAGAAATGCACTGTCCAAGGATCTATGTCTAAAAAACATTCATGACTGCAACGCAATAAATATATGAAGAAGGGTTTTCTCATCTGCCATCTGCTTTGCTTGCACAGGCACAAAGCCGAAGGCACCAGCCTGAAGATGACGAGTGGGACCTTGTCAAAACGTCGCCAAGATACTCTCAATCTTACACAGGAAAAGACCTGAATACCCAAATACACCAAAACTTGCATACCTCTACCCGTGAAAATCTACGAAAACATTATATTTAAAACCTTAGCTAAAATTGGACTTCCGCTGGCACCGCAGGCGCCGCTGCAGCTCCTTTATGAGCTCTTACTCCCGGGATCTGTAAAACCGCCAAAACAGCATAAATCAGCCGTTTTGGCAGCTGGAACTTCCCTCTCGGGCAAAGAGGGGGGCGTGAGTGCTCAGGTGTATAGGGTAGAGCCCCGCAAAACCTCCAGGATTAATCCTGGAGGTGCAGAGGGTGAGGGCTCCCCAAATGCCTGGAAAGCAGCTCCAGACTCGGGATTCCGTCTCTGACGGATCAAGGCGCCGTGACCATCCCTGCGAAACAAGTGATTTCAAGGATCGATTTTTACGCAGGTAGAACAAAACAGGAGAGCTTCTCGCAAGTATTTTTCTTTCCTTTAACTCTGATGAATAATGAGTCCTTTCATATTCGAATGAAAGTTTTAAAGAGATCCAAAATGGCGCTGATAGAGAACGAAAGTTTAAGAAAAAAGTGATTGTTAAAGCTTGTTTGCGCTTGTTAAGGTCGTTATAGCTGTCAGTACTTTGAAGCTTTGCTGAATGAAGTTTGCAGCATAAGAAAAGATGGTAGAGGCAAAGATTTTTGAAGAGAATGGAGGTTTCTCAGCACATAATTCAGCAAGTGTACAAATACTGACAGTGGATTTTTTGGAAGCATGGCAAAAATCATTTATGAAAAGACTGGATGAGATCTTTGAGAAGTTTATTACTCAAATTGATAACAAAGATGCAATGTTGAAAGAGGAGGAAGAACAAGTAATTCAAGTAAAAACGCCTGAGGAACATGGAAAGGATGTTTTCCAAACTATGAATAAGCTGATGGGCTTGAAGGAGGTTAATCCGGAGATATGGAGAGAGATCTATCCAGAGGTTTTGATGCAAACGAGAGGAAAAGTGCTGGGAGAAGCTTGGATTTTCAAGATATCAAGAAGGATTAAAAATGGAACATTACAATTTCTTTATAAAAATGGACTTTTAATCCTAATTAAAGAGGTGTGTTTCGTAAAAGGAACTACTTTGCGAGCTGCACAGGATTGGAAGATAAAATTACAGTTGAATACACAAAAGCTTGTAAAAATAAAAGATGGTAGAATAAAGCAGAAGAAGAAGGCTCAGAAAAAAACCAGGGGAAAATGGAAGTGGAAGAATTTTATTCCTCTTTGTTAGGCAGGATAACATGGTGAATGATTGTATTGGTATTCAAGATTTTTATTGAGGATATGATTTGTTTGGTTTTGAATTATTTTTTTTTTACTTATGACTGGATGTTTCAACTGTTATATAAATGTGAATTTTTACCTATGATTAGATGGATTATAAAAACGGATTTTTATGATTTAAAGTTGATCTTAGGTTAAAAAAGAAATTTTCTTTTGGAAATTTAAGGTTATATACATTAATGTTATTCTGTGGAGGTGATTGTATTGGTATTCAAGACACGATTAATTTTTATTAAGGATATGATTTGTATGATTTTGAAATTTTTTTTATTTATGACTGGATGTTTCAACTGTTATATAAACATGATTAAGGATATGATCTGTATGGTTATGATTCGATGGATTATATCTAAAAATTACTTTAAGTAATGGATTAAAAGAGAAACTTTCTTTTGGATGTTAAATTTAAGGTTATAGATTTTTCAATATATTTTCAAGGGCTTTAAATTGTTTATTTATTGTTGAATTAATTGGGATTAACTACCTTTAAGCAAGAA